TTTGGCCCGTGCATATGCGCGCATGAACGAAAATATTATGTGGGAGTCTTTCTGACGTTTATTCATAAAACATAAGAAGTTCGTTCAGAGAATATGTATATCACAGGGTCTTAACAGAAGTTACACTAATCAAGATTTTGCATGGCTTTTTTCCTCAATAAACCATGCAATGGCTATGTCTCGGGGGATCCCTCTTCGAGAAAAGCGTTATAATACCAGGTGTTTTTCCCTTATTCATCCTTGCTTACTTTCAAAGCAGTTACGCAAAGTTTTAGCCTTTTCGGTAAGCATATGTCCACCACATTAAAAATGGAGTGATCACCCAATTTTGCGGTTCAAACTTCTAAAAGCTGCCGCGATGCCCTGTGTTCTATAAGACAATTAGGCCACCAGCAGTATAACTGCATAAAAATTACCTCAAATCTTTTCGTTTACACCTAAAAAGAATTAGTGCATACGCTCGCATGCACGAAAACGCTAAACGGAAGTCAGGGCGCGCATACGACATATGCACGCTGTCGTCAACGTGTTAAAACTCCTCTACATAGGAGAACAGGGCTGGTGTCGGCGAGGGAGTTAGCAAGATTTGGCTTTACCTATGCTTTGATCTAGCTAGAGGCTCTATTTGAGGAGATCTTGGAAAAAAGGACCATCCTGGACCTCCTGTCAAGTCTGAGTTAATTCTCTAGACCTGGTCCCTCCATCCTGTCAACCTGCGTATATCGTAATTCTCAACATAACACTTCTGATTATATTTGCACAAGAAAAGTAAGGAGGGGAACCCTGCGTGCACTCCGTGTCAGCTCGTCTAAAATTGTTACCAGCACGCCCAGTCAGCGCGGGAACTGTCGGACCCTAATTAGTCCGTGCCTCGACAAGTAGCCCTTGCAGACTTTTATGTGCAGGCAAAAAATAATTTGAAATGTTCATGAATCAGTCGATGCAATTCATAAGTGTATCATTCATTTTCTGACTAATTGTAAGAGACGCGAGCAGACGCGAGCACGCCTTGCGTACATTTGATCAACAAGTTCATGAATGAGTTCTAACGCGTTTTGGTTAATACTATCAGGAATTCGTGAAAGAACGTGTTCAAGCCAGCGTGGTTTAACAAGCTCAAGCGTGTTCTTCCATGAGTTCTAAAAGTAAATCAACCAGAACGAAAATTCATGAACTCGTTAATAAAATGTACGTGCTCTCGCCTCCTAGTAAGAGAATGAATGATAATTTGTTTTGTGTAAAAACGGGATTTGTTGGCATTCGTGCGAAGCAGTACTTGCTTTTTGGTACTACTACTCATAACTTCATGACCTACATCCAAATTAAATTATAGTAAGTTTTCTGCTAAATTCTTACGCGACTATGCAATCTGCTGGGAAGTGGCGGTGGATGACGCGAATTTGTCAGCTCTGCGGTGAAAAACAGCGCCGCCTGTTCATGCGCGGCGTTGCTGCCTGCAGCCGTCTGCCTGCTGAACATTTTCGAATGGCAAAGTTTTTGCAAATAGGTTTTAGTTTGTTTTGTTTTGTTTGCTTTGCAGTTGTCGTTCTTTGTTGTCTTTGCGTTCTTTGATCAACACCTCATGCTGTGAATCCAAAGGAAATTAACTCAATGCAGTCATGGTTTTTCTATCATGCATTTAACCATATAGGGTTGTACTGTGAGTTATTCATTGTAAAAGTATGTTAAAGCTTAGCCTTCTCAGAAGTGGAACTCAAATTTTCCCTTTGCAAAAAATCACAGACAAAGTTTAACCCCTGTGCTCGTTAATATGTTTGAACCTTGAAACTTCGCAAAACCCGCTTATCTTCTCTATCTTTCCCTATCTTGATCGAATTAGAACTGCATGGAATTTGATGCCGCAACGCTTTTGAACGGTGTCTTTTCTAAGTTTATAACTATACTTTTGTGATTATAAGCTCATGTGATGTGATTATGAATTCTTATCCATTGAATCAAAATCCACAGTTCTTATCTAGAGTTTTCCCGAACGCATGGAAAAACCTTTTCAACATCTTATCAATCTGAGGAAAAAAGTCTGGTGTATGATTGCAACAATTTTCTTTTGCAGCCGTTCTTATAGGTCATTGATAGTGAAAGTGCACTTCTTTATCACATGATCTTGATAGTCTTCGTTTTCGCTGACCTTTTTGTCATTCACATCTTCCATCGTTCAATACTTTCAAGGTTGCCTGTCATGCTTCTTACAAATATACTGGACTGTTTTCAAGCTTATATTTGGCACTGTTCAATGGCATTGGCCAACCGCCGCTCTTGGCTTACTCGAATGATCTTACGTGCTTCCTTTATATTACAATCAAATGAGTAACATCTGCTGTCTTTTCAAGCGTATTTGTTTTTCGATCTAGGAAATCTCAACTCCTAAGCACTATCATGATAGTAGGTATCTCATAACATGTGCTCAAGGCTCTTCTTTTGTACAGTAGTTGAGACAAGTTCAAAACGTGAATTCTTTGTTGATCAAACTTTTTGCGAATGGACCCTGAAGTTCAGTTTATTAGCAAAATTACGTAGAATTTGGAGAGTACAAAACGAATCAAACTCGCTCTGTGCAGGATTAATTCATTAATAAAGGATCGTATGGCTACTGTAATAAGCAAGTAGTCTCAATGCAATGACTGAAAGAGTTATTTGAGAAAAGAAACCAATTTTTCTAAATCTCTGTGGGTCACGTTGGATAGCTTAATCTACCCTTTTTATGTTTATCTGTACATTTTTCCTTTTTTTCTGGCATGATTGATGACTAGGAGTAGATGATGCGTGGAACAATCACTTTGATCATCTGGCTGCTTTCAAAAACTTGATTCTCAGGAAAGAAAGATGATCTTTGTAAACTATGCCTTTTTGGAGTTTATTTTCGAAGACACACATCTATTTGGCTTGAAAAAGATCCAAAGGTTGCCCCGATCCGGAGAAATTTTAAGAAGTAAAGTTCATAACGAATTCAAGCTTAAGTATCAGTGGTAGTTTGGAGGTTCTGTACTTTCTAATTAAGTAATTTGTGCAAAATTTGTGCCTTTCCAGTTTTGAGCACCCGCAATTACACTTTTGTGTTCTAATCAAAGTCCAAACCCCTTCTGTTTTGAGTGTTTGTTACGCAAGTGAAAATAAAAGAAGAAGCATCATTCTTTGAGTCTTGTGAGGCTTCGTGCGAAATGTGGATGCATTTTCTGGAAAACATTCATTTTTCTCGCGAAATGAATTGGCCACTCTTTTGAACACCTATTCATGCCTTTTTTCAACATCAGAATGGCAGAGAGAGTTGTACGTGATTGATTTCAAAGCACATGTACCTCTATCATCTCTGCATTACTTACTGCCGCTAAAGCTTTTGCACAATTCTGAAGGATAAATTCAAGGACTTGCTCCAAACTTGCTCTAAAAAAGTATACCCTTAATTTCATTGTTGGCAAACATTCTGAGTTTCAATCTTGGGTGATTTACATTCTCAAAACTTATCTTCAAGCGCTTTATTTCTTAATGTAACACTAATCACTTGAAATTGAATATTGCAAGTTTACTTTTATCGTGCACACAAGCTGAAATCAAATATGAAGTTCATTGCTAGGGTGCTTGGAGTTGCCACAATGATCTCTGAGAAGTTCACCAAAGTTCGAGTTTTGTTCTTGATTGAGTGTGACTTTAGTTCAACGTTCAAATATAGTTCAAGTGTAGTCATTCGAGTCAAGTTCAAATAAACTACATGTTTATGCTGAATTCAATTTTGCACGAAAATTATCAATTTTAAAACAACCGATTTTGTAGGATAATCGTATGCGCCCATCTAAGATGAAAATATGACAGAAAATATTATTTTTACATCTTTGTGCGATATATGGTTAGTAGTTGCGATCTGCAAGCTACATTATTTTCAAATAAAATTTTTTTTATCTCAAATTAAGAGTACATGCAGCAGACTGAATCTTTTACAATTTTTCAAAGTCTTTTCATCATAAGAAAAATAATCAAAGGCATGGCTGGCGAAGGAAGAGAATGCTTTGTTTTCTAGAAATTTCGTACCTTTGATAAGGTCTTCATGTAGAAGTTACTCATGACAGAAATTATGTTTTTCTGCTGTTTGCTCGTATCGAATGGAGTTTCTTGAGATAGATTATGTACTTATATACATATTGCATCTTTCCAGTTTAAAATACATATTTCGTTTCGCGAGAGATGGTGTTGTTTTATTCTGGCACTCATGTGTATCATGAATCATTTTCCCATTTCTTCTCACTTTTGTTCCATTTTCGCATCATTTTCAGTGTGCAAACCAGCAATCGCTTTTAAGTTTCCTGAAATACACAATTTCCCGAATCTGTTCAAGTGTAAGTCTAAGTTGGGTTACTCGGGCTCGTCAAAATTCATCGATTGCAACCTCTCTGGTAAACTTGTAAAGAGATTTTTCGTTTCGTAGATTGCGATCAAAATTAATTGCACTTTTATATTGTGAGTTCTTAATTTCAAGGTTCGGAAGACTGAGCACAAAATATTTTTGATGCCAGCAAGTTCAAGCACTACTAGCAGCTCAGAGTTGCGATGAATAGGTTTCTTTTTATCTCAAATACAAGGCTTTGGACTATGGTGCCTCCCGAAGCAGTCGTTTTCAAAAAAGCAATTACTCAACTCTTTGTACACATCTTTTTCTCATTTTATCGGGATTCTCATCACGTACACTGTGCACGAGATGAGTGTCGATTAAACGACTGCTCGATTATAATATATCGACAGGGATAGTGCTCTCATGCAACTCGGACGTTGTCACGTTGTCCTGATTCGCGATCCGCCTATCGAGATTCATCAGCGCTTCATTCTCGATGTTCTGAAGTACATAAGCCCTTCTGCTGCTTAGTGTTCGCTGCATTCTCGCCCAATCGTCTTTGTCGAGTAGCCGATAGTAAACAATATATGTTGATTCAGCTCCTATTAACCTTACTCTTCCTTTCAATTCTATATGCTTCTGGCGTGTATGGTACGTAGTGCAGAAATAACCAGGCAATTTTCGGTATGCAACGAAGTGCGGGCCTGGTCCTCTGGACCTCGCGACAGCTTGTTGTCGGATCGTCGCGAGCGATCGCCACCGCACCTCCCACTCCGAAGCGAAAGATCAAAGTCGAAAACCCCGTGGTAGACCTTGATGGAGACGAAATGACTAGAATTATTTGGGCAGAAATCAAGAACAAGGTATTGTTGGTTGTCTTTTGAACCGAAAGTGGCTTACGAAAAGTCAACTAATGAAGGATTCCGCTATCATAAGAGAATTATGATAATCTTAGGACCACTTCACTTTGATTTTATATCTTATGCCTTCCTGATTTTTCCTACAATTTTTCTGATTCATTCATATAATAGACTCCACCATATAGAAGTAACTCTACTCAGTTAGGTTCCTGCGAAGAAATTTTGTGCTTAGATTATGTCAGGCTTCTGGTTTTGCTAGCTATTTTTCTCACTTTCTAGAACAGGGGTCTTATTGTCAAAAATATATGGGTCCTCTATTTTGAGTACCCTAAAATCCCACAGATAGGGCCCCCCATCAGATTAGTCCGTCTGCAGATAATCCGAACTTATTTGACAGTCTTCGGACTTATTTGACAAGATTACAGTGTAGGGTAGTTGTAATGGAAAGACAACGGACTTATTTGTAAGGCGGACTTATTTGAAGGGCCTTATTTGGGTAAAAAAAAAGCGGATATCTGTAAGATTTCAGAATACTAAAAAGGAACTTCTGGACCACCCAATGTTACAGCACAACTCGTAGACTCGATCAAATCTTGCTCACTGCTCTTTCATTTTATAACTTTAAACCACAGCAGCGATTAATGATAAGTACATAAGGGTTCCAATTCCTGTCCTGAACATGTACGCAAAAAAAAAAACAGGTTGCTTGGCATTGTGAACTACTAAGTGTACCCACTATACGGTATATCACTGTTAATTCGGAGGACACAGGCCTAAAACATTCCTATCGCGGTAAGTTTCCCGAATTTTACACCAAATCCTTCACAGCAGTAAAAGCTCAACATCTGACTCACTTTTTTGCCCAGACTATGCAGCTCTAATCAACATTTCATGCCTCTTGTTACAAAACATGATTCACTGTTGATGTGTAACCACAAAGAAATTCTTGCTTTTTCATTATTTCTTTCGGCTACAATGACATTTTCGAATTTGGTTGTGAATACTGTGAATCATATGTACCTCCTAAGCATATAACGATAGCTGCTCATTTCTATAACACCAAGACACCCAAATTAGGAGGAAAAAGTTCGAACAATCATTTGAGTGATCCTGACAAATAGGATCTTCTCAGTGGACAATCTCACTTCTCATATCAGTCAATATGATTGATGAACATATGTAGATAAATAGATGCAATTGATGAATTGCTTTTCTTCTGAAATATTTCTTGCACACAGTGATTAAATGCTTTGCTCTAACTGGAAAAAATATAGATGAACACGTGTTCTAACAAGCGCTTCCGTCTAAAAGAAGCGGCAATCTGGAAAATAAAGATTGGTAGAGATGGGAAAATTTTGTAATTTTGGTATGGTCGTTCTTAGGACATCGGTTGTGCAACAATGCGGAGAGATCTTTGATTATCCAAATTTCAGCTCATTTTACCATATGTCGACCTCGATATCAAATATTTTGATCTCGGTCTGCCTCGCAGAGATGAAACGGATGATCAGGTAAAGACCACGGTTGTTGATTCCGGAGTGAAAAGTTTTTGATCGTTTTCGTTTTAGATCACCGTCGATGCTGCCGAAGCAATAAAAAAGTACAGTGTAGGAATAAAGTGTGCTACAATAACACCAGATGAGGCAAGGTTGGTACACCCAGGGTCACTGCAACAATTTTATAGCTGTGTTCTTATAGAGTGAAAGAATTCAAATTGAAGAAAATGTGGCTTTCACCGAATGGGACAATCCGAAACATCCTCGGTGGTAGGCTTTCGCATTACTTGGGTTTCTGATTAGTATGTTCTTGTTAAGAATTTAGCTGATTTTGAAGCGATTTTAATATGTACAATTTCCTCAACTTCAAAATCAGACAGGTTTTTGTAGGCACCGTATTCCGTGAGCCAATCCTTTGCAAAAACATACCACGACTTGTACCGGGCTGGGTAAAACCCATTGTTATTGGTAGGCATGCGTTCGGGGATCAGGTACTTTTCCTTCAGTATCTTTTATTTTTTGCCAGAAATAAATATCATGTTCGGTTACAATTTAACACAAATTCTGGAACGTTGCTAGACTTCAAGAAATTTAGAATATTTTTTGCGACATCTTTTTTACTAACTATTTTTTATTTTCTTTTGAATAAAAGTTGCTTTTCCTTTGGAAATACATGTCTGTTTTTTTTCAGTACCGCGCAACAGACCTCGTCGTTCCACAAGGGGCAACGTTACAATTAGTTGTCAAAGGTATTCCCTTACCAATTTGATCTTTAAAATACAAGATACTCGCATCAGACTTTTCATGTTGCACATAAAAAGTTTGATACATGACCACGTGCAAGTCGTTTGTCATTAATGTTTACACCAATCTTTCGCGTTCATTGACTAATTTGACTTCCTTTGTATTTCCGGAAGTATAGTAAGAAAACGACAGAACGGTGAATGTTCGTGTAATTTTGAAGCGGTTACGGTATTTGGCTAATCTATGGTAAGAAGCTGCAATCACTATACATATCTTCGAGACAAACTACACTTCTAAAAAGCAGTTGGAAATACTTGGAATTCAAGCCATCTGACATCCTATAATGAGATCAAGATATGTGGTGGTACCCAGTAAGAACTTTGAGAATTTCTACCTGTATGTGTCCAAACATTTACAAACGAATTAAATGGTTTTGGAATTTTTTCGAGACGATAACTTTTGCAAGTGCTTAAAAACGAGTATAGAGATCAGCTATTATCATTTTGCATCCCCCGATCAGATCACCTTTCTTAATTGTTTTGTGGACAGTGACGGAGATTGAGAGGTGTGACATGCACAGGTTGATGAACTTCACCGTAGTTCTACTACACTTGTAATAAAGAAGGTGTTTTGTTTTTTGAAGGAAAACGATTTTAAAGGATGAAAGGATTTTAGAGTAACCCTTGCCATCCCCCTGGCTGGCTCAAAGTCCCATTTTTTATAAATTTTATTTCCTATCATGATGAGAAAGTAAGAAAAGGTCAATAAAATTTACTTACCTGTTGATGTGGAGAGTTGCACCAAGATCTTCGAGAGTTGAGGAAGCAAACGATTCATAAAGATAGTCCAACCCACATTGTGAGACATTTAGGAGCGGATGGTAAAGATGAAACCAGGACTGTCTTTGAATATACAAATTCGGCTGGTGTAGGCATGGCAATGTACAATACAGATGAGGTAGGCTACCCATCTTTTGTGCAACAACTAAGGTATAAAAATTTACTTTAGAGCATACGAGGTTTTGCTCATTCATGCTTCCAATATGCTCTTATGAAGAAATGGCCGCTATATCTTAGTACGAAGAACACAATTTTGAAGCGGTATGACGGCCGATTCAAGGACATCTTCGCAGAAATTTACGCAGCGTAAGGCAATACACAGTTTTGCTCACATCTTGCTTTATGTCGCTTTTTGTAGAAACTACGAGAAAGATTACAAAAATGCTGGCATATGGTATGAACATCGATTGATTGACGATATGGTAAGTTGTCATTTTTTCAAAGGGATGAGCTGTTTTTTATTTTGGAAGAAAAAAGTAAAGGAAATTCTAAAACGGTTAATTGCACATAGGAGTCATAGCACATAATTTCTGCACCATAAGATCGAATGTGTATACACGACTAGCGACCCTACGGGTCGCTAGCAAGTGGGTAGGGGCAGATACAATATAGGGGCTTAGTTGTGATTATATATTTTTCTAGATAATTTTCCTATGCCTTTCCGAGAACATTTTTGCGAAAAGCATTTTACAAAAGGAGATGTTCGAAGAAGCAACAATCCCCACAAATCATTCAGCATTTTTCGAAATTTCTGCTGCAACCATGCATGGGGAATATTATTTTTCTCTCGTTTACCACGTTCTTTCTGCAAATTTCCCCTCCTCACAGAGACATTCAGATAACCCCCCCCCCCCTCCTACTTTTCTACCCTCTCAAAGAAAATTTGCTCTTCCAGCTTCTCAACAATTTCCATAGAAGATCGTTAAGGAAGTGAAAGAACACTTATGGTTTTGGAAGTAGAAATACACCCATAACAATTATGTGTACTACAAAAAACACTTTTCTTTCGGAATCAACTCCGTCAGCAACGAAATCAATCGTCTAAGAACTTTGTCAGAAAATCCTTCAATATTTTCGCCAAAGGAATATGAAGCTTTACTACAAAAGGAGATCCCTCCCCGAAAAGCACGACTACTGAGCCACCTAAAGACCCTCAATTACAAGAATTGCATGAACGTACCAAGAATTTGTTTCTCTGTCCAATTAAATTGCCATACGTGCCGCTTGAAGACCATTTAAAAAATATGAGAACTGCCCCAAACGTACAAAAATCTGTTTCCCTGCCCGATGCAGTTGCCCTACGTGCCGCTTACACACCGATTCCTAGTTGAAAGCACCAGCGGGACCCATTAACAAGCAAAAGGAAGGCTGTTGTTAGATAAACGTTTCCAAAAGTACCAGCGAGACCAAGTTACTCACGCACTCTCTTGTCTACACGTGGAAGCAAGACAATCCTAAAATGACTGCTCTTACAATTAGTTAGAGCATTTTTACCAAGAGTTGGGAACTTAGATGAATTTAGCTCAAGTCACGCTGTTATGCAATTTGGCATCATTTCAAAAGCAACTAATAAGAGTACAACACATTTTAAAGACACATTCTGGGATAACAAGGTCGAAAAAAAAAGCAGCTACAAATAACACACCCGGACATGGCGATCCATTCTCAAAATCATTGCGATACTCATGATTGCCTTTCGAATTACGAGTGACCCTTTTACGAAAATATGCTTGGTCACTCGTTATGAAATTTGGCAGCGTTCCAAAACGCATGCCACTTGGCAGCAATCCAAAGTCAAAGATCAGTGTATCCGTCTGCGGCCTCCTCGTTTGCCTGTTCCACAAACCTGGTGGCTTAATGGGTAAACAACGAATTCATTATATATTACGTAGTGATTCATAACACGCAAAGACTGAGCGCCATTGCGTCTGGCCAAGATAGTTGGTGCATGGGAGAGACACCAGATGGTAAGAGAAGCGAAAGAGCGCTCTCAGAGAAACGCAGATAAGTCCGCAGTCTCTGCGTGCTATGAATCGCCTATACTTTTATGACTAGCGTTGTCGTATATCAACACGACTATTGAGTAAGCAATTTTATTGTTAGCATTCGTAAAGTGAGAAACCGAATTCGAAAATCCTCACTATGCGCACAAAGCACAGGCTGATTCCAGACATGCCGTCCTTGCGGACTGTATGCGTCTCAGCTGTTAAAGATAAGCGACTTGAAAGAGACGCAGACAGTCCGCAATAACGGCCTGTCTGGGCGACAAATTTTATCTCAAGGAGCCTATGAAATTTGGAGTAAACTTGATATTGTAGATCTTTTGATCTATTTTTCCAATGATAATTTTTTATCCATCTTGTAGGCCTGTTAAACCAACAACTGATTAAGATAACTTGCCTCCTGTGTAGAGGTGGAAGCGAACTTTGTGCTGTAATTCATAGTGTTTAGGCAGAACTGAGGCGCACAACGGTCGCAGAAATGGTAATATCTCTAAAGAGTGACTTTGATTGTTCTCTTGGAAGCTGCACGTTTTGATATGACATTTCTATATATCTTACTGAACCTCACACTTTGTCCACTTTGCAGTTCCTGAGAATAATAACTTTTATCGCACAAGATATAGCAAAATTTGATGTTCGAATGTAGGTAGCACAAGTTCTGAAGAGCGCTGGCGGATTCGTTTGGGCTTGCAAGAACTACGATGGTGATGTTCAGAGCGATATCGTAGCTCAAGGTAAATCTTTGCAATTGTTTCGTATCTGCTACCCCAACAGCCATGAATGGAATTCAGGATATGGTTCACTTGGGCTGATGACGTCTGTCTTGATGTGCCCAGATGGCAAGACAATCGAAGCTGAAGCCGCCCACGGAACTGTCACTAGGCACTACAGAGAGTACCAGAAGGTGACTGTCTTCTTTCCAAGCACATCATCTTTCCAATCACTTGTTTTGTTTGAGGGTAATCCCACTTCTACCAATCCCGTAGCTTCCATTTTCGCCTGGTCTCGTGGTCTACATCATCGCGGTGTGCTTGACAAAAACGAAGAGCTCAAAAAGTGAGTTGAACTGTAATCGAATGGTAACTGCTGAAGCAAAATTTTGGTTGTTTTAGGTTTGCTCTCAAATTAGAGAAAGCTTGCATCGACACCATTGAAGCAGGAAATATGACAAAAGATTTAGCCATTTGCATCCACGGTTCGAAAAAGGGAGCCGAGAAAGGCATGTACCTAGTAACGGAAGACTTCCTCAACGCAATTGCTTCAAATCTATCGGGCCTTGTCTCATAGAGATTTTTAGGAAAATTTATGATGAAACAGGTTGAATGAATAATTTATTTAATAAAGAGTCTATATTTCTGTTGATTTATTCATCTTCTGAAAAAATTGCGATGCCTCTTGTGTTTTGAACATATTTTCGCATAATAGTGGCACGTTTGATATAAACGCATTCAACTTTTTGTTAGAGCTACACACAAGAGGAAAAGTAAGGAAATGAGTGGTGAGAAGTGCACAACTAATGCACACATGCATGTCCACTTTGGTTTCTGAGGTTCACATAAAATAAACCTTTATAAACTCAAATATCTCACTGCAGTGGGGAAATACCCGACTACAGAGAAAGTTAAACAAATAAGTGCCTATCGATATCTTTTAAACGAAACAACATAACACGATAACGATAAAGAAAAACAATGATACACAACGGAGCAAAACTGAAAAAAAAATCTGGCCATGTACTTTCGCTCACTAACATGCAGCAACAAAAATGTCAACAAGAAAGGCGGATAACATCTCTGCTAACGTAAATCTCGGAGAGATCATCCAACGAAAGCACAAAGCTTTTGCACTTTTCAATTCAAAACAACCGACTTGGAAGTGGGATGGGATATTGAGGAATTTGATACTATTAACACAAGAGCATTTATGTTTTCAAAGTGCGGTTGAGTATTAAACCGCAGAGAGGTATGGGAAAATGGAGGCAGGTTCACGAAATAACATGTGATCTCAGAAATGACTGAGCAATTTCGAAAATGAGGTAAACAACAGGTGCCTAATGTATAAACTCACACCTACTGCAATCTAGGCTTCTTTGTGGCAGGGTCATCAGAAGAGACCGAATAGTATCCATTCGACTTGGAATGTTCTCTTGCCTTGAGATAATTTCCGCTTTGATTGCTGCAAGATATTCATGAGACAGCGGACAAGAGACAATGCTGAGTTACCTGGAACTCGAAGGAAATCCGAAGTTGACTCTTGGAAGATTTACAGGTGGATTAAGTTTGAAAGAAAAACGATTGCCGACATAGTTTCCATTCTGCGAGAAAAGCGACTTAGCTGGTAAGACGCTGTTTGACCGGATATTGGTAGAAGCACCAAAACCGTTTTCTTTACTGATCTCTCGATCTATTCCATTCTGATGACTGGCATTCGCAACAATTCCTCCTCCTTTGAAAGAAAATTTGATCTGACTGGCATCCGTTACACGGCTGTCGCAGTTCGTCCCCATATTGAATTCAAACTTCCTCTGTGGTAAAATTGGTAATATCTTGTTCACTACGGTCGCATAGCCATTTTCTTTGAGAGTCTGTCCATAGTAGGGCACTGTGGACGGCATGGGATATGACGCCATCAATGCTGGCGCTGGATTGAGTTTAGGCCGTGGGGGTGATGCAAGAACACGTTCTTGTGGTCCTTTGCGACTGAAAGATTGAAGATATAGCCTACAAGACACCACAACGTTCAGAAAGCAAAGTTTATTGATCTCTCCAAGCATGCTTGTTTTAGTCAGTGAATCACAGCTGATTGGTAGCTGCGTTGTTTCATAAGCTAGTTTAGAACATAATAAAAAAAATCTTCAATTATCTACGGGCTGTTGGGTAAAACAAATTCCGGAAAAATCCATCACTTACCTATACACTACTACATAAGGGCATAGATTGGCAGTGAGAAGTTTCTGTGGTTTCACCTGTAATCCAGGAACATTAGAGTAATCAGTCAGTTCGCACTGTTCTGATGACTTACATATTCGTCATTGAAGTAGTAGAACTGACGGTCGTAACCCCTGACAAGTGCAGTGTAGTGGCCTGAATACTGTGCATAGCCTTCATGAGAAATGATGGCCGTAAGTTCATAATCGTCCTTTTCACTTTGCGAATATGAAAACTCTCCAAGAGAAAGATGTTCCTGGAAAGCATTTACATCAGAATTCAAACTAGGTAATTCCCATGAAACTGTGCACTTTCTACTCAGACATACCTCCACTTGTACCTTCATGCCGTTCTTCTTCCCATTCGGGAGAAAGCGTTTGATTTGAAGAACAAGCACCGAGGGAGCACGCAAAATGTAAGGCCTTCGTTTAGCATGTTTTGCTCCACATCTCAAAAGCTTTGATAAAAAACCAAAAGACAAGATAAAAGAATATTGACAAACACTGGAATAAAAGAAGTTACAGTAGCGGCAAGCTGAATCTCATATTTTTACGAACTATACCGTTCTAGTATGTGGCAACACAGGAAAAAAAACGCACCTTTTATTTGGACAAGTGTAGTCCAAAACTTCCTCTTTCATGTACAATGCGATCAAATTACGCATTTTTGGTGGAAATCCGAACTGATCACTTTGCTTGGGAAGATGAAGTGATAGATCATTATGCAAAGCGTAGTTGACTGAACTATTTCCGCACTTGGGACAAACGACTGAAATTGAAAAGAGATAGAACAACTCAATGTTTTTGAGAGGACATACGCTGATATCGCAGTTTGAAGCCAAAAAGTTGCATCATTGGCGGAGATGGCCCTTTGGGTCTAAAAAACAGAAAGGGTTCAAGAAAAAAAAGAAGAAATCCTTCTTCCTCTATGAGAGGAGATTATACTTACATTGCAGCCTTCATTGGTGTTGAGGGGCACGAACACCTGTCTATTTGATCTAACACTTTGATGAGAAATTCATGAGCATCCTCCTGAGTGCCGCGATAATCTTCGCCAAATAATCCTGATCAGAAACATCATGTGAAATTTTGACCACTGCAAACTGTAAGAAAAAGATACTTCTCCAGTGCACAAGGATCCAACCCATTTTGTGAGGAACTTCGTGGCAATTGAGTACGCGGAAGATATGTTTTCTGAGATCGCAACAAAAGCACTTTCCAAGCGGACTGCCTGAAACATCGCGATAATTTACCAGGATCAAAGTGAATAACAATAACAAATTTGAAGTATAACTTTGAATTGTTCGAGGTCGAGAAAGGGTATTGAATGAAAGGTCACAAAAACGTTTAGGATCGACACATATGTTTGAGATAGCCACTAGCCGACAACGACGAACTTATATAGAGTAGTCAGTCCATGGTACATTAAATCTATTATTCATTTTCGGAAAAGTATTTGCTACAGAAAAATTGACCAGCAATACAAATAATCAAAATGTGAGGTACATTGTAATGAACCGAAGTAGACGATGCTTACCGTGATTGTGGCTGTGCTTATCCACAACAAAACGCACAAATGGAGCAGTATGCGTAAGCGTTTGCATTACTGCTATCATAAAGCAGTGCTGAGAGGAATTATAGATTCCATCTGCACACTTCAAATTTCTCTAAAGCTTGTTCAAATGAGTAATGGAAAAAAAGAAGTAAAAAACTTTGTGTGAGCTTACAACAGGTGCGAAATTGTTGAAATCCCAGATATCCTTCATTCGTGGATCGAGAACAGGAAACTTTTGCTCCATTTTCCCTTTTTCTGACAGTCTACGTACACGAATTGATCCCGGACTACCATCTAAATGCAGACACTAAGGAGCTGTACATATCATCCCTTCATGTTGCTACTGCTCTGCGTCTCTGACTTTCGCTACGTATAGCTAGAGTTGGCAAGCGCAACAATGTGTTGTGGCGTGGTGTGGAAGGCGACAACCCCCAAACTTGATGCGTCAAAAACTTTTCGGTGCCGAGGGAGAATGCGGGGCAGATAGGGGGGGGGGGGGGGGTGAGATAGATGACCAAAACTAGCGAGAGGCAATTCACATCACTTGCCCTTTCCACATACTGTCGCCTTCTATTCCCCAAATGTTGACTTAACTCTAACTAACAATCAATAAGATGTTGACATGTTGTTGCTGTTAACATGTTGTTGCATGTTGCCAACATGTCATGCCTGCCGCAGTCAGAGATGCAGAGCAACAAGAAGCAAGCTGGAGATTGCCTGACGCACCAGAGCGAGACCGCTGCTTGTGTGAATCGGTGAGTGACTCCATTCGTGCATGGTCGCTACGTTTTGACTCTTCTCCCTTATTTAAATGAGGGAGACTTCGCCACTTCGATAGCCGTTCCCGAAGGCCTTCAACTTTTTCATTCTCTCCATCATCTCTAATTCGGCCATGAAAATGTTCCTTGAAGTGCCTTGAAGTCTCTCCGTTATGTGGTGTGCTTTTTTCTCTGAACTGCAACTTGAGAGGATCTCCGGAAAAAAATAAACATAAAACAAACTTTTCGATTTCAGAATGTGCTGCAGTGGGTGTATGGAAAGTTTGTTGCGAACACGTTTGTGAGTTGATGGACGTGCTACTCTCCGATTTCGAACAAAATCCAGAGTCTACACTTTCAACTTTTGCCGGAAGCGGTTTAGCAGCGTCCTCGAAGGAGTCCTGACTTCCTACCGACAGAATATCAGGAAGTACAGGTGACTCTGATGTTGAGCAGGAAGGAGTACTATAACACGACATTTAGTGGTGAGCAAGTTCCAGATGGAAAATAACATGTGTTTATGCTTGTTTGCAAGCCCTTCAAGACTGGCTCCACTAGCTGAACCTAAATGAAGATGTAATTCAAGCAGACAGGAAATCGCAGAGGTGAGTTTTTCCTGGAGGGAATGAACACCACAATGGAGACTAGCAACAAGAAAATTCTCTTGTGACATGACCATACAAAATGGTGTGTCCATTAAAAGAATCTGAACCCATGGTTATAAAATCGTCTTCATTGTCTTTGAAATCCCCAGATAAAGCCAGTAAGTATCCACTTAAGCATGGTAACATGCTTCAAATATGTTTAGAATCATCAGTCTCAACCTTTTCTTCCCCCTCCAAAAAGCTTTACCACAACCCATGAGAATAAATACCTACCTCTGCTCAATGTGCGGAAAGGTGCTAGCGGAGGTGTCATTCTGATTCATTAGAGATGTCGGAATTGCATCCACATTCAACTGAAATTGTATAGGGTACATTACGACAACAAACTGTAGTAACCCCAATGGCACTAGTGCATTCCACGGTTATCATTCAAACATTGAGCGCTTCAAATGAGAAAATTATGTTTACTGAAGCAGAATAACTATATGTTAACCCACTACTTAGTGAGAAAAACATTTTCTTACAAAGAGTCCATAATCGAGTCAAAATGCAGTCACCTATATTACGTAAAATGTTGGTAACGGCTTAGGTTATGAATTGCGCGTGCACATTATGCAGTGTGACGCAACAAATGTCTAAAAAAACATCTTTGCTAATAAATAGCTCGACAGTTTGCGCACTTACTCTCTATACTTCTTGTGAGACCTTGGCAATATTTCTCAGAAATGACTCTTACACTGAGAACCTCTGCTGGCTCTCAAAAAGCTAGAGAACAAGAAAAACTGGGTGAATTCTAGCTTGAAAGAACTGAGTAATTGAAACAATATGTTACAAAGCCAAAACAGGAGGAAACTCCTTCAGCTTAGTTTCTTGCCTGTTTCTAGGATCTTCTGACTTTTCAAATGATGAAAACTGAAACTTGACGGCCACCTTTTGAAGTTCTTCAGCATCTTCCGAAGAGACGGAATTAGCGTCTTCGTTAATAAATAAATCTGATGTGGATGAATTTGCACCTGATCGCTCACTATAAAAATGCCGTTATGGAGTTAATATGAATCGAAAGAGTCAAGTTCTTACGGAGTACTCTCATAACCATAGTAACTGGGGGTTTTGGCAGCATTATCATAGCCATCGCAGGTGGGAATATTGGCTGCATCAAACAAGCGATTATCCTCATCACAATCTTCCATTATCATTGTGCATTTGGTGGCTATAGAAAAATGTAGTAAAATATATCAAAGGCAAGGTCATGCTAGATTAAACAGATAGATTGAAAGCTTTCAGAAATCACTGCAAAGAACCTTTCTTATACACTTACTCTCAGATTCGTCCAAGCTTGGAAGCTCCTTGTCGTGGTTCTCGTTCGTCAAGTCTCTCGCCATCAAAGTGAGTATTCTCGGGAAAAATATCTTGGACTGCAGTATCTACAAGAAATAAGGGAAGTGGCATAGTCTAATGAAAGATATACTATGATCTATGAAAGACTCAAAAAACTAAACTTAGACGACACGACAAGCAAATCCGACACTTTACACGCACCTTTTCGCACGTTATGGACGACACATCCACTTCTGACGTCATCGAACTTTATCTACTCAAGTGTGCTGCTATCACCACCCTATTATTTGAATTGAAAAAAGTCATAACGGAAGCGAAACCTTGAGCCATAAAACCCTCGTACTTCAAGCGCAACGCAGTTCGCGGCGCGTGTCGATTTGAGCTACGCTACCCTCTTTCGCCATTCGAAGTGATTTCGGTGGAATTTCAATGCTATATTATAGCCGAACCACTGAACTAAGTAATCGGTCAAATCCCGTTTCGAAAGACCAACTCCAAAGCGAGAAAATTGCTTTAGAAAGTACAAGCGGCCAAGGTGGCTCCGCCCATCAATGTGGGTATGTGGAGATAAAAAATCCAGAATTGGGGTTCAATGTACCTTAAGTGTCATAAATCCGCCTTTTATTATAAACCAGAGTTTCGATATTTTTATATACTCTGAAGCCCGCTCTGGAGATCATTATCTTCAGACCCACCCAAGTTGATGGGCGGAGTCACCTTGGCCGCCTTTACCTTCTGAAGCGATTTTCTCGCTTCGGAATTCATCTTTCCCAACGGGACTTGGGCGATTACACAGTGAGGAGCCCCGCTATTATATAGCAACAAAATCTCACCATCCACAATGGTGGATGGTCCCTTCAAATCTTGACCATTTTGATCTACACAAAATATAAGTAAGCAAAGCTAAATAGCTGTGAGAAGACGATTTGCTGCTTCTGAACCATCTCCTTCTGAAAATTTTAGATTGTGTATGAGATCCTAGTTATTGTTAAAATGAGGAAGTAACTTACGTTTTGTATTATGCGTACCAGTTTCCATAGTATGTGTAGCAGTAGTGCCAGTGATGCATGGCACAGAGCACGAACGCAAGGGTAATTTTGATCTGTCATCCCAGTGGGTGGAGTAGCTTGGCGCACGTGAAATTAACAAGTTAATACTTGTGCCTTGCCTCATCGATTGGGACTTGACAGACCAGATATGAATACCGATTATCCATATCTAAAAGACCAGTGGCCGCATTCATCAACGAACCATGAGAATCCTTACCCTTGCGAGTAATTTTACCCCAGAAAACATAGAACCCGTATTCAAAGCACAGGGTAGGCTTAACCTCAAGTGTTAAACTTACCCTTGAGGGTAAACCTTACCCCGGGAGGTCATCGAAGTCCGAGGGTAAATTCTACTTTTGCGAACGTGGCTCATCAGGGTGAATTTAACCCTAGCACAAAGCAATGCTAAATTTACCCTGACACTTCGTACAAACATGGATTGATCTCTTAATGCACCACTCAGTCTCTACGATACTGTTTTGACAACAAACACATATTTTTAATTATTATTACCTCAGATTTGTTTATTATTTTGTTCAACTTCAAGCATATCTAGTTGAGATACGATACTATGATCATGTATCAAATCATTTATCAAACAAGTATATTGATGGACTAAAATTTGAATGGAGTTCCGAATTACTAAAAATTTCCGAGTTGTTGAGCTTGATCTCCGCCATATCAAAGTCCTTAGTTGGACATGTACTTTATTAAAAACTAGACCTCACTATAACAACTCGGCCGAATATATTATCAATAACAATACGCAAAGAGGCCATAGGAAGGTTGGAATAGTAGTAACCATAAATGTGTGTTTATTGTCACAACAGTATCGCTAAAGTAATACATTAAGAGATCACTTTTAACGTTTGTGGAAGTGTCAGAGTGAATCTAATCTTGCTCTATGTAGGGTTAAATTAACCCTGATGAGCCACGTTCGTAGATACGGGTCAATCGCTCTGGGGGCAAGGTTTACCAACAAGGGTATTACCCTCAAGGTTCGTTGATCGATACGGTTTAATCGCTTTCCGGGGTCAACCGTACTCTACGCTCAAGGGTTCGTTGTTGAATACGGCCAATGAACTGTGAGGGTGAAACCTACTTTTGTGGTACCCTCAGGTTCGTTGATGAATACGGCCACGCGAAAATCGCATCCAGCTGATTCCTGTGTTGGCCTATTCGATCCACGGAACACATCTGCCCATTGGTTTTCCTCGGGGACGTTCTGCTACGCAGGAAATCCACGCCGATGTTCTTGATGTCAACCTGTCGTCTGTTCTTCTCATGATGTGACCGGCCCACCGATGCTTCGCTTTCGCGACGTACTCCGCTGGGTCGCAAAGACGGGACAATCTTTTCATGTTCATTCTGCACAGTCCAGCGAGATGTTGCTTGTGTCGGGTAATCTGTACAAGACTGCGCTCAAGCCCTTTGGCGATTCGCAAAGCTTTCGTCATGTGTACAGTATCGGCAGTCCTCAGCTGCTCGGCGCTCAGAGAACGGTTAAGTCGAACACGTGGGCTCGAACCTATGGATCCTTCAGGGTGGCTTCCTCTAGCCTAAGCTGCTAAGTCGTATTCCATGCTTATCTGTCCAGGATACAGTGAAACTCCTCTATAATGGGGGGTGCCTTCCAATCCATATCCGAATTTTTGCAAAAGGCGTTCTCTTCATGAAATGAATTATTCCGATTTCTCAGTAACAATCTTTTCCCCTGCTTTATTATGTTCCTTCAATCGTCTGCGCTTCAGTGATACTTCTCCAAAACAGAAGATGCCGTCTGCAGAATGAAGATTTTAGCCAGTGACCTCATCATCAACTGCGCGAACGCGGTAAACAGCTCCAGCGAGCGTAGCTTTGTCGACCGCCACCTCAAATGGGATGATTAGGAGGCGATTGAAATGCTGTAATGTTTCTTGCAGTCCTTGTAGCAATCAGACAATGTCCTGCCATAAGCTGGATCTACTTTCTGATCGACTAAGCTGACAAAAACTTTGTGGTAAACGAAAATCTAAAAGAGAGGCAATCGGCAGACTTCCATAACCCTATTTTCTGGATGTTGTCCATACAGAATCCTATGCGATTCTTGGCGATGGGCTTTATCCATTATGCTTGACATGAGAGCGAGGACAACCTCCGTGAAAAACTCTTGCATTACACTTGACAGGCTTAGGCAGTAATTCCGAAGCCTCCCATTTGCCCTATCTGAAAAAAAAGAGAGGTTCAGTTTTGCTTGCGATTCTTCCCTTCTGAAGTGAAGATGCCAGACACGAAGCGAAAATTTCGTGTAACGGTGTCCTCCAGCTGGCAGAAGTTCGGCAGAAAAATGGTCTTGGAGCCGTGGCGTCTTTATGGTCTCGATCGCGAGCGCACTTCAGCAGATAGAATCTTTGGTGGGTAATTTTCCAGTGGGAACAATGGACACTGGCACGGGCGTTGATGAGCAGAGGTTGTTGTAGAAGTTGTCGCGTTATTTCTATCTTTTGTCGTAAAGAAGTCGGATGTTTCGTTCAGTAGTGCTCCCAAGCGTAAATTCGCAGAAATTCCTTCGGCACTTCATTCGGCTGCTTCCAGTATCATTGCTTGCCTATACTTCGGAAGACCCTCCTTCAAAGCTGTTCTGCAACTGATATTCGCTACCAGTCTTTCGAAATGTGTTGCCTTCATACCTGCCTCAAGGTCCTGATTCTTTCGAGCAGTCCTCTTAAAGGCAGTAGGTCGGCAGAATGAGACCCGCGGCAAAACAAGGTCACAGGGTAGGAGCCCCATAATGGAACCTATGGGCCAAAGTTCGATCTTTCTCTGCCACTTCTAACCCCCGAAATTTCAAAGCGAAAGCAGCGCTCATCTCCTGTCCTCTCCGAACCCGCCCACCCCATGGACGAGTGAACGCGAAGCCCATCATGGCCATTGTTTCGACTTACCGGCTTTACGTTAATTGTGTTTTGCACGTTTTGTCGCCTAACGCTTGCCCTCCATGGCGAAGACGCAGAGTCGTTGCGGGACCTTATGTTTATAGCATTGCGGCTGGCGCTCTGACCGCGGAAGTCACTCGTCCATGGGGTGGGCGGGCTCGGAGAGCACAGGAGATGAGCGCTACTTTCGCTTTGAAATTTCGGGGGTTAGAAGTGGCAGAGAAAGATCGAACTTTAGTCCATAGGTTCCATTATGGGGCTCCTACCTTGTGACCTTGTTTTGCCACGGGTCTCATTCTGCTGACCTACTGCCTTTAAGGGTTTACCACCTAACCTTCGATTCAACTGGCTTGGCGGAAGGCGGGGCTTCGTGACCTAATTAAGACCGCTTGCGCTCGCTACGCAGTCTGCGTCTCTCCCGCGCGCGTGCTCTCTGATCATTACCTGGCCCTCAACCCCGCCTTCCAGCAGCCAACCCAGTTGAATCAAAGAGTACAGTTTTGGCACTGACAAAATCCGCGCATGCAGCTACGCATCTGCGTTGCAAAAGCCCTTTGTGAAGCCTGGGTGGAGGGCATTAGGTCGCCGAATTTGGAAGAGTCCCGCGCGGATTCCCTGCAGGAACGCATGTCCGCGCATGTACAAGGGTGCGTAATTGTCGCAAATGACCGCGGGGACCGCCCTTTTTCGGCGACCTAATCCCCCCACCCGTGACGCCTTAGGCCTCGGGCAGAGTTCACGCGATTTCATCGCCTCGGGATTCTCCAAGAAGACAACTGTTACGAGTTCATTGCATACCGATCCTCCCGCAATTCTTCGTGACTAACTCAACTGAATGCAGGACGGCATGCAATGAACTCGTGACAGTTGTCTTGTTGAAGAATCGCGAGGCGATGAAATCGCGTGAACTCTGCCCAAGCCTTACAGACTGCTTCCTGGTCTGTCATTGATGAAGTCGAGGGAAACCAGAATCTTCGCGATTATCATAAGTTCTAGAATACCTTCGTCCGCTAAAACCCCCGTGCCACAAATGGGTCTACCGAAGGTTAGTGAAACGACAGACCGCGCCCGAATACGCCTCAACCCGCTTGTATACGCCGCAACTCGCCTATGCGCCGGTTCCCACCACCCACTTGAACATGCCCTGCTGCAACCCGCCTGTACTCGCCCAAATTTACCACAGTCCAATAGTGTGCAGATGGAAATACATTCGAGTTACTTGTAAAGGCTACTGCAGGACGAAGGCGTAGAAGCAGTATAAGTTGAGGGGACGCGAACGCGAGTCACGAGCGTATCCTTACCATTGTAGCCTGCATCCTGCATCCCATGCGCTCTGTTGTTAATAAAGCCGCGTTCGCGGCCTAAGGATACTGCGCCTTCGTCATGCAGTAGCCT